GTTAAGGTTTATATGCACAAACATACCAAAAAAAAAATCTATAAGCATAATTACTTTGTAGACATATTTATAGAATATTATAAAGAAAATATAACTCTTCTACCTATATTTTTTAATTTTAAAAAGAAAATTATATAAAATGAAATTTTATACATGTCATGAAATAATAATAATAATGACATATTTATTGTTAAGATCCAAAAGTGTAAGATTTAACGAGTATAAATATCTATGAAAAGTAAATCGAAGACATTAATGACATTTATCAATCATAGATTTATATCTAATGTTTGATAAAAGTATTATAAATATTTTAGTAGATTTTTATGAGATTATTCACATAATTTATTGTTATATAATTTAACTCTATAATATTTTAATTGTTATAAGATTTTATCATAATAATTAATATAAATTCATAATTTGTAAGAATATTTGTTTTTGTTATTAAGAATATGATTTGAATTCCATTTAGGATATAAAAATTAAAATATAAATTAAAATTTAATGGTTTGAGATCTATATCTAAATATTTCTAAATATTTTTGTAATCAAACGGATTACTAATTAAAAGTTAAATTTTGATATTAATATTTTTTTTAATGTGTTTACCTGCGTAATCATGCGTGTGCTATTCTAGTTAGTGTAATACAAGATATAAAACCAAAAAAGTAATACTCAAAGTGTATATAAGTGTCGATCATGGGATTTAAGATTTACTATTTGGGAGATAAAAAAAAACTTTATGTCATATATTTTGATACATGAACGTTTCGATTTGTGTCTGAAAATAGCGGGGGAAAAAATCGTGTTTTTAATCTTAAGATATGATACAATAAATGCTCTCATTATTACCACAGTCCACAGACTCTTTAATAAGACAACATATCTGTGTGCTATATATATTGATCAATACGTAAAATGAATAGATCATCATTTGAAAGATTATTTTAACTATCTTATTAAGTAAAATCTGACGAAAGAGAAAACACAAAATGCAAACCAATGGTCCGATCCTTGGTCCCAGATGTGAGCTATGTTCATGCTCAGGTAGTGGATGCGCGTCTCGATTCCCTGGTAATGTTCATCTCTAAATTTTTAGTTAGTACACATAATATTAAGAAAACTCCAACAATCAATTGAACATGTTACTTATAACTTCGATTTGGTTCTTAGTACGTGTATTCAACTAGTCAACCATATGAAACTGAGAGTCTAGTATAAATCAGTTTTGATAGTTTTCTGAT